TACTTAAAATTTCAATGTTGAGGCTTTTCTGCTCTTTCTTCCCGCAACGTCTAATCTAAAACTAGTGATGTCGTACACCACTAGTACTTAGAGATGACTTCATCACCTAACCTTTCTCGTGCTTTTTGATCTTGAGGCTTCGTGCTCCTCACTTCCCATAGAGGATGTCCGAGCTTCAAGTTCAATCTTGGAACTTGTTGTCTTGTCGCATGGGTCGACAATTTTTTTACTCCCAAAAGTGAGTACTTACTCTCCTTCTTGAGTCTATATAACTTTTGGTAATTGGTGCACATCTCCTTTCTTTGAACCATCGGGCGCACCCAAGCCCTTAGATCCGACCCGTCTTATTTCGTTGACTCATTTTATCGTCTGATCTATTCCCGAGCCGCCCATTTTCGATACATTTAAAGGTATAATCGATAAAATTAAATTTAATTTGGCTTAGACTTAATGATATGAATGAGATAAGAGAAAGAAACGATATGTGATTTGAGCGATTTTGAATAAATCGGGATTTTTGGGCTTAAAGCTAAAATGTTCCACTTTTTAAATAAATGCGATAAAATGTTGAAATAAATACTATAAAATTCGTTACGTCATTTTGAGGCGTAGGATTAAATTTCATAATTTTCGGACTTGGTTTGGTAGGTAAACGAGCCGGTCAAATGCGTTGACCGGTCGTAGCGAATTCTAGTTGACTAAGTTAGGAGTTGACTTTTGACTTGAGATTTTGACCATGGACTATATATATATTTAGGATGTTATGTTTCCATTTTCGTAATTTTTGGATGTTGTTTGACTTAGTTATAAAAATCGAGACTTTAGATATTAATGCCGTAATAATAATATATTAGTTCGATTGAGACTTTAGCTGCAGTTGTGGATTATAGATTTATTATAAATCACATAGAATATGTATATTTAATTATCGGCCTTAATTGAGTTAGAATTTTCTGGAATCAAAACCCTAGTTTTATCCGGTTCCGATAACCGGGTATATTTCTAGATCCGATTTGAAAGGACTGAACCCTAGTATCGTCTGGATAATTATAAATCGTCGTATCGTAATTCGTAATGCGTATCGTCGTCTCGTGCCCGTGATTGCCTCTTGTCCGACCGTTGGAGCTGAGTCGCCGAGTGCGTGCCCGTGCACCGAGTCCGAGTCAACCCCCGAGTGCGTGCCCGTGCACCGAGTCCATCCGAGTTGCCGTCTACACGCCGTTCCGTTAGCCGTGGTCCAAGCACGCCCCTGCGTCAGTG